GAAAGCTGGAAAGCTCTATAGACATAGAGCTGTAACTAGAAGGTATCACCTTAGGAAGATACGCAGAGTTAGGGTACAAAACCACTTTAGAGTCATTAGTATAAAACTGGATACAGGAGGGGTTCACTGACAGAGCGTGGAGGTCCCCAACCCGTTTAGCTGTAGCTAAAGCCAGAAGCAAAGCAACTTTAAATGAAAGAAACTTCAACTCTACAGACTCTAGAGGCTCAAATGGAGGGTCGCAGAGAGCCTCAAGAACCACAATGAGGTCCCAAGAGAGAATACTGGGTTTAATAGCAGGCCGTAGCTTACGAACCCCTTTCAGAAAACTCCTCTCCAGTGTCGGACGCAAAAGTCCGGCACAGGCCCGGTAGGACTCGGGCTCCACAAGCGCCCATCAAGCATGAATGATTCCTAGGCAGGCCGGGCAGGCCTCATGCTGGTCCCTCTCATGAAGCTTAAAGCCGCACCCCTGAGGACAGGGGCAAACAGAAGACTTCGGCTTCTTCAAAGGTGGTTTTGTGCTCATCGTGAACCACAAAACAGATTTTCAGCAGAAAATAAAGGTTACTTAAGTAGCGTCGAGCGGCAGACACACGAACCAGCAGGTAACGCGGTTAGCACCAGTAAAGCTAGCCTAAGAACCTTAGAAGCTGAGCTAACTAGCAGCAGCTATGTCAGCTCAGGTTTAGAGGTGACTATCGCGAGGTGAAGGGCGATAGAACTGAGTAATGATGCTGGTGACTGCGAACTTATAGGGTGAAGGCGGAGCCTGTCACCCGACATTCAACGTCACCATGTCACCGGTCTAAAGACATGATTAGAGGTAGCTTCAGCCAGGTACGCGAGGGCACCCGTGTCCCATATACAACTGTGTGTTGTACTGAGTGAAATGACTGAAAAGGAACTCTTGTTTATACTATTACAAAAAGTGACTTATGATGGTGAAGATTCACAAATCTCCAACAACTATGTCAAACCTCCATCTCTGTGCAGCATGCAGGATGGTGTCATCTGTAGGTGCTGAAGGCCTCAGTCCCTCACTGGTCCAGACTGCTGGCTCCAGACCATTCAAAGAGTTCCATCTGTTCACCACCTGACAAGACACACACACACAGCCATGTTAGGTAGAGAAAACAACTGCAAAACAAAACAAACAAATAAATAAATAACACAAAGGTGCCAGTCAGTGTATAAGACATTAGTCTGGTCTAAAATGTAATAAAACAACATCCAGACCCATTGTGACAAGTTTAGAGGAGACAACTTTTTATGCAAGAAGCAATATAAAAATAAGTGTATCTCTACCTTAGTGGGACATTGACRCTGAGAGGAGGCTAGGGTCTCATAGGTGGGCAGTATGAGTTGTAAGCAGGTCTCCAGATGATCATCAATCTTTGTGGATCTGTCCTTGGACTTGATTATTTTCGTGTGAGAGAAAGCTGACTCCAGAACTCTCCATCCATGCGACTTGTTGCTCTGGATTTGATCCCAATGTCATTTTGCAGAGTCAAAACCTCATTTTCAACACCAGAGCAGTCCACCTGAAACACGAATTTGGATACATCCATCCATCCTGGTGGACATCTGCACGTCTTATAGCAGCCACTTTTATTTTTAAAATCACGGAAAAGCACGTCTGCAGCATCAAACCCTTCTTTCATAAATTCGTCATCGCTGATAGATGTTTTCCGCAGTGTTTTTTTATTTTTTTTTGTGTTGAGGCAGGTATGGGGCAGCATTAGCAGCCTTACCTTAGCTTAGGAGGGGGAATCCATCTCCTAACATTTGTGCATTGTTTTGAAAGAAAGGCAGTTCCACGTTATCCTTTTTGGACAAGCCAAGGCAGCGCTCGAATTACATATGAGTCCTCTTCCCACTCCAGGTGAAAATAATAAGTTTTTATTTGCTTGTTAGCTGTCTTTCGTTAATTTTTTTCCGCCTCGCTGCTTTGTTGTGAACACATGACCCTAAAGTCTCGCGAGACCATGTTCGGAGTGCTGTTTCACTGCACCCAAAACTCGCGAGACTACGTCTGTGAGCAGAGCTGACGAGCCGGCTCATCAGCTGTGCTTGGGATGGTGGAGGGAGCGTGTTCAAGGCTGGAATGTAAACTCCTCCCGCCTCYCACCTCCACCGCTTCTGCCGGAGAGCTCAGCCAGCGGACATGAGTCCTGGGCCGGAGCGCAACTGTTGCTCTCAGCTGTTAGAGGAAGGTTGCGCTCCATGAGCTACTGGGAACCAGCTGACGAGCTACCGGTCGATCGCGATCGACCGGTAGCTCGTCTAATTAGCTGGTCTAAGTAAACATAGAATCCATGGAAGGAAGTTTCGTCTCTATGATCCTCTCTGTAGCCTTTATGACTCTTTGTAGAGCCTCCTTGTCTGGTTGTGTGGTGCTCCTCCACCTGTGGTTAGCACCAGGATGCAGTGAATTACAGCTTTTGCTGGGCTTTTTTCACTTTGGCTCTTGTGTTAAGAGGCCAGGTCCAATGAAACCTCAATCCCAGGAATCTGTGGCTGTCGGCCGTCTCCACCTCAGACTCTTGATGAGAGGCTGTAGTGGGGAGGGATTCTTCCTGAATCCCAGTATTTTTTCTTTGGTCTTGTCTGTGCTGAGAATAAGGTCATTTTTCTTTCAATGGGTGAGAATGTTGTCTACCAGTGTCCTGTACCCTGACTTGTCTTCCCTATTGATGAGTCCCAATATGGTGGTATCATCAGCATATTTAATCCGATAGTGTTGTCCTGGGTGGAGACACAGTAATATATGTACAAGGTAAAGAGTTTGGAGCTGAGGCAACATCCCTGCAGGGATCCTGTACTGACTCTGAGTTCAGCAGACTCCTGTCCTTCCATTCACACCACCTGTGGTCTATCTGATAGGAAGTCCAGGATCCAGTTCCAGTTGCTGTTATATTGTAGGTCAGGGATCATCGATTCCGGTCCTCGAGGGCCGCAGCCCTGCATGTTTTACTTGTGTCTCTGCTCCAACACACCTGATTTGAATGAATGGATGATTATCAGGCTTCTGCAGAAGTTGGAAGAGGTAATCCACTGCCTGAATCAGGTGTGTTAGAGAAGGGAAAAAAAGTAAAACATGCAAGGCTGCGGACTTCAAGGACCGTAATTGATAATCCCTGCTGTAGATTTTGCTAAAAATGTAGTTAATGGCAGAAAAACAAACAAAAATCTTGTGCAGTGATTAGCACGCACAAGTTAAAATCAGCTTCAGCTGCACCAAGTTTTAGGTACATTTTTGTAAAACGTTCCCAGGCCAGAGAGGATAATCATTCCCTCCAGCGAGTCCTGGGACTTTCCTGGGGCCTCCTACCAGTGGAACAAGCCTGGAACACCTCTAAAGGGAGACGTCCAGGAGGCTCCCTAATCAAATGCCCCAACCATCTCAACCAACACCTTTTGATGCTCGACTCGGAGCTCCCCTCGGACGATGGAGCATCTCACCCTGTCTTTAAGGCTGAGCCCGGCCACCCTACATCAGATGCTAATTTCAGCCGATTGTGTCTGGGATCTCATTCTTTTGGTCATGATCCACACCTCATGACCACAGGTGAGGGTTGAAACGTAAACAGACCAGTAAATCCAGAGCTTTGCCTTTTTGACTCAACTCTTTCTTCACCACGACCGACCGAAGCAACTCCCTCATCACTAAGGATGAGACCCCAATCCGTCAATCCATCTCCAGTTCCATCCTGTCATCACTCATGAACAAGACACCCAAATACTTAAAGTCCTCCAYTTGTGGCAGAGACTCTACCCCACCCATTCCACATTTTTGTAAAACAGAATAACATATCCCCATTTGTGCTTTAAAGTTGGCTGTGGCAGCCATCTTGAAACAGGTTAGCTGTAAAAAAAGGTATTCAGTTGAAGATGTGTAACTAATGATTACGGTCTGCCAGTTTCAATAAAAACTTGCYGGCTGAGCATTGAACCAAAGCAAAAACTTGATTTAGCAGAGCAAACAGAAACACTAACACAGGACAATTGCAGATCTTTAAACTCTGGACTGAAATTTCAGATGCAGAACCAGTTTCTCTCACACATGATTCTTCGGGGCGAGGAGGAGATGGAGGAGGAGGAGGAGGAGGAGGAAGCTGTCCCGGGACTCCAGAGATGAGGAGGAGACAAGAGAAGGCACTGCGAAGGCTGGCTGGACAGGTACCACCCCTACTTTTTTTCCACCAAACCCTTTGTAGTGGTTCTGAATGTCTTCAGTGAACAGATTACCCGATGACACTCAGAACGTTTAATTATTTGTTGTCCTGTAATACTCCATTTCTACTACTTTTGTTTACGTTCATAGGGACAGCGGCAACGTTCGTATGTTAACGATCATCATTCTTTCATGGATAATAATTTTGCTGCAAAAAATGTGCGGAGAAGAGGTTTAATTCTGCACCTYTGCCTGTTGTCTGCAGGTCGTCTCATATCACTTCTGTCAGGCTGATAACTGTYACACCTGTCTGGTTCCTGAGTTTGTCCACAACATGGCGGCCCTGCTGAGCAGCGCCSCTCATTTGACGGCCTATGGAGAACTGCTGCATCAGTCGCCGCAGCTGCAGAGCATGCTCACTCTGCGCTCCTGCATCCAGGATCCGAGCTCCGCCCTCCAGAGAGGAATCCTGGAACCACTGAACGCTCTCCACAGAGGTATCCGCAAGTTCTGTTGCATTCTGCAGAGTCAGGGCTGCTAGTGTCTCGATGCTAACTATTTATTCATTTATTTATTTTCTAGAGAGGAAAATCCATGTGGAAGGGGYGGGGCTTATTGTACTGATTGATGGACTAAACGAGGCAGAATTCCACAAGCCAGACTACGGACATACACTTACTTCCTTCCTGTCCCTAAACATCCARAAGTTTCCTCACTGGCTGAAGGTCATCTGTACGGTCAGGACGAGTCAGCAGGTAAAGCTCAGAGCAAAAACTATGTTGTTGTTTTTTTTTTTTACCTCTATCTACAGTGGGGTGCGAAAGTTTGAGCAGCCTTGTTAATTTTCCTGATTTACCTTTATAAATCATTGATTGTTTGGATAAAAGAAAATCGGTAAAATATATCATATAGGGGACAAACAGTGATATTTGAGAAGTGGAATGAAGTTTATATGATTTACAGAAAGTCTGCAATAATTGTTTAAACAAGATTAGGCAGGTGCATAAGTTTGGGCACCAAAACAAATACCTTAACTCAATCTTTAATAGATCCTCCTTTTGCAGAAATACTGTAACAGCCTCTAAACACTTCCTACAGCTTCTAATGAGAGTCTGGATTGTGGCTGAAGGTATTTTAGACCATTCTTCTTTACAAAACATCTCTAGTTCATTCAGGTTTGATGGTTTCCAACCACAGACAGCTCTCTTTAAGTGACACCACAGATTTTCAATAATATTCAGATCTGGGGACTGAGATGGCCATTCCAGAATGTCGTACTTGTTCCTCTGCATGAAGACCTTAGTAGATTTTGAGCAGTGTTTATGGTCGTTGTCTTGTTGGAAAATGCAGTCCCGGCTTCAGCAGCTTCAGCTTTGTCACTGATTCCTGGACATTGGTCTCCAGAATCTGCTATTGGTTGGAATTTATGCATCCCTCAACTTTAACAACATTCCCAGTCCCTGTACTGGMCACACAGCCCCACAGCATGATGGAACCACCACCACATTTTACTGTAGGTAGCAGGTGTTTTTCTTGGAGTGCTGTGTTCTTTTTCCTCCATGCATAACGACACTTGTTCTGCCCAAATAACTCTATTTTAGTTTCATCTGTCCACAGCACCTTATTCCAAAATGAAGCTGACTTGTCCAAATGTGCTTTAGCATAACTCAAGCAGCTCTGTTTGTGATGTGGGCAGAGAAAAGGCTTYMYCTGCATCACTCTCCCATACAGCATCTCCTTGTGTAAAGTGTGCTGAATAGTTGAACGATGCACAGTGACTCCATCAGCAGCAAGATGATGTTGTAAGTCTTTGGTGCTGGTCTGTGGGTTGACTCTGACTGTTCTCAATATCCTTCACTTCTGTTTATTCCAGATTTTTCTTGGTCTGCCACTTCGATCCTTGACTTGAACTGTGCCTGTGGTCCTCCATTTTCTCGCAGTGTTTCTCACAGAGGAGACTGAAAGCTGAAATCTCTGATAGCTTTCTGTATCYTTCCCCTAAACCATGACGGTGAACAATCTTTGTTTTCAGGTCATTTGAAAGTTGTTTTTAGACTCCCATGCWGCGACTCTTCAGAGGAGATGCAAAGAGGAGAAAAACTTAAAATTGCCTCCCTTAAATGCCCTTTCTCATAATTGGAGTCACATGTGTATGGAGTTCAAGGGTCACTGAACTTACCAAACCGAATTTAAGTTCCAATAATTAGTTCTATAGATTTTGAAATCAGTAAAATGACAACAGTGGCCAAATTTATGCACCTGCCTAATTATGTTCAACCAATTATTGCACAGTTTCTTTCTGTAAATCATATAAACTTCATTTCACTTCTCAAATATCACTGTGTTTGTCCCCTATATGATATATTTTACTGATTTTTTTTATCCAAACTATCAATGATTTATAAAGGTAAATCAGGAAAATTAACAAGTCTGACCAAACTTTCGCACCCCACTGAATCAGATGGATTTGTAATTAGAATGAATCAAACCATTTTAGTTTGGCTGGGGGGGTGCACTTGGTCGTTGGCGGTGTGGTGGGGTGGTCATGGGTGTGACTTCTCTGCGGCGGTGGGCTGGCCGGGCGTTCTGGTGCAGCCCGGGCCAGGCCTTGGCTGTCTGCTCCTCTCCACCTCGGAATGATTGGGTCTACCTCCTGGGTTCGGGTGTGTGCTGCCTCCAATAGGGGGTGGGTGCATGTCCTGGACCTGGGGGGTATAGAGTGTGTATCGGGGGTATGAGTGGAATGTGGCGTCTTTGTATGTCTTTGACTGAGTGGGGGTGAGGATGAGGGTGGGATGGTGCGATTGTGTATGTTTGGGTATTTGTCAGGCTGCGGTCTGGGCTGCCCCTCCTGCTGGTTTATCTGGGGGCCCGCTGCTMCTCGGCCCCCAGGTGGGGTGTGCRGCTGGCYGCCGGCGTGCTGGGGGTTCCCGAAAAAGTAACTTCTGTACCTGTTTTACCAGAAATTTGTCAGGATTTGTTTTCTGTTTAGAGTTTTTTGTGTTGCGTTTTTGTTTTCAGTGTTAGTTTTCCGACCTGTGTTTTCTGTGTTGTACCTATCCTACTTCAGAACCATCTGCTTCCCAAAACATTATCTACACAGTTCTGAAAGATTTGCCAGAACCGTTAGCAGGACAATATAAACATGTAACAATTTTGTGTTACCTTTTTAATTTAATCAGGACATCACTCACTCCCTGCCTTTTCACCGTATTTCTCTGGACAAGGTGGAGGAGAATCCTGCCATAGACCAGGACCTGCAGGTAACCTGAACAGTTCTTTCGTCTGTATCTGTGTGTGTGTTCCTGTGTGTACACGGTGTGTTTGGTCTTTCCAGGGTTATCTGATGCAGCGTATCCACAGCAGTGCTGAGATTCAGAACAACGTGTCGCTGGGAAAYGGGCGCCTYGACMACACAGCCCTGACTAAACTGATCAGCCACTTGAAGAGCCTGAGCCGAGGTTCATACCTCTACCTGAAGCTGACCCTCGACCTGATAGAAGCTGGCTTCCTGGTCCTGAAGAGCTCCAGCTTCAAGGTGAGGAGTGGAGAAAAGTAAACATGAGCGAAGGAAGCTTTACTTGCACATGGTGGACAAACAGGTTTAACAAAGACAATCAAAACTGGTTGTTCACATACAAAAAATACGGTGGCCTGGAGGTGCAAAACARCATTACAACATCTGAAACATATTTACATGATTTAAAACCAGATTACATTTCGAAAAACAAAATTAACATGCAAAACACTTACAAATCCTAAAACAAATATACAGTTTAGAAACCAGAAAAGGAGGGAACAAAACTTTGACCCAGAAGTGATCACGGTAGCGTTTAGGGACCCAAAATCTGTACCTTTCGTTCATTTGTTTTTGTTTTTAATTTCTTCTTTTTTTGTTGTTGTTGTTTATTGAAGCCATTATCCAGTTTTTTTTTTGTTTGTTTTTTGTGCATTAATTATACAAATAATGACTGGTCTCTTTAGGTTTAGTAATTTTTGGTTTTGGCAAGGGCAACAACCCAGCAGTTTTTTAGTTGTTCCAGTTTCTCCCTATCCTGCTACTGGCTCCCTTATTCAGACTCCATCACCTCCTCATCAACCCTCCTGGGTTTCCAGGTGTTGTAGGTCTTAATGCAGACTACAGCTGTTCCTCTCCTGGGTCCATTATGGACTGAATGCTGCTCACATTGTAACTGCACTCATCTGAACCACAGAAAATAACCAGGTTAACGTTGAATTTTATTAACTTTATTGCTATTGTTTTGGTTACAATTCTTCATGTTACCACTATCATACTTGCTGTGGTGTCAAACTCTGGGTCGTACTGGTCATACTGGTTCTCAGTGGGTCCACATGGATGGTTCAGGTCCATACTGATGTAACAAAAAAAAACAAGTATACCACAGTTCTGCACACAACGGTCTCTGTAGTCATAAGAGAATAGTTTAGCATTGTTAAATGTTGTTTTAGCATCATTCTAATGAAAATACCTGCAGTTCTGGAGGAGCTTTAAAAATTCAGCCACTGAGGCTTTAACAAAACAAACATGAGGCACAAAATTATTTGTAAGATCAATGTTTTAATGCAAAACCTTTTTTAATCATACTGTTCTGTATTAATTCTTCAGTTAAAGTGACTATGAGGTGTTTCTACATTCCTCATAGCACTACAAACACTGCCTCAGTAACGTCAATAACAGCTTTATGCAGCATTGAAAGCACACAATAAGCTTCTTTAAACATTAAAAAGTACTACAAGTCCGACTGACTAAATGTGAAATAAATAATACAAAACGGCCACTGAAGTAAATGAGTTTYACTCACTCTTGTTGCGAGTGGCCGCCATGATGCGGAGGTGGGGGTGACATGTTGCTCCATCGAATCTAACGMAGATTTTCATCCAGATTCTGAGTTTCGATTGTAATATTTACCGTTGTATAATATAACTTTACAGGACAACCTAGTTTCCCTGCAGCAGCCCATTTCCAGTTCATGTTCTTTTTAGAGTTTCCACGAATGTACAATCCCCCAAAGTCCTGTTGTCTTTTCACAATAAAAGCACATTAACATTTCCATACATTACACCAATGTAACTGGACCTTGGCACTGTTCTTGTGGTCTTTTCTTGCGTGTTTTTAGACAAAAAGTTAGGATATTAGGTTTTCGTTTGATCACATTTACACAGATTTCTACACTGCTTCTGACACGTAAAATGTGGGGCATTTTGTAATGTTTTGCACCTCCAGTCCATCTTAAAAGGAGGACCATCAGCCTAACAATTGTTAGAGCTYTGATTATCACCTATTGTTCACAGGGGGCTGAGTCATACTCACTATAGCAGCATTTTACTCCTCTCTTAAATCAACGTTCCTCTCTATCAAGGATGAGAACATCTTCATCCCTGAAAGAGTGACCGCTGGCCTGTAGATGAGTGTAAACTGCAGAGTCCTGGCCTGATGATGTAATTCGTCTGTGCTGGCTCATTCTTTTGAATCATGGTTGCTTTGTTTCCCCAATGTATAASTGGTTACAGTCCTCCTGACACTTAACAGCATATACAACATTACTCTGATTGTGGGAACTGGATCTTTGGGGTGAACCAGTCTTTGACATAATATGTTTGGGATTTAAAAGCCACTGGGACATCATGTTTAGAAAATAAACATTGCAGTCTCTCTGAAACTCCCACAGCATGCCCACTGGTTTGGGTCTGGGTTTGTGGTCTTCATTTTCACCTGGTTGTTGGCTGGAGTCCTGTTTGGGTTTCTTGTCTGGTTTGAGGAAGGCCCAGTTAACTGCACTGCTCCAGAGCCTGTCTTGTGTGTGACTTCTCTTTCTCCCTGGCTCCTGTGTTTGTAGGGACACTGTCTGCTCTGTGGTACAGAGTGCTGATGACTCCTTACTTGTGCTCCAKTGGGTAATGGTCTATATATTTGATCTGATTGTTGGCATTACAGTATGTATAGGTCCAAAAGAGGCTTCCAGTAGATTATTTTTTAATTCCATCTTCAGCTTAGTCACCTTTAATGCTGGACAAACTTTACATAAGTTGTCTAAAATATTATAGTGCAGGGCTATTCAACTAAACTGCTCTGGGGGCCACAGTTACTGCAGGTCAACAGCTGAGGGGCCGAACATCCAGCAATTAAAGTCATTATGTAAATAAACMTATTACAAAGATATGCTACCTTTTAAAAAAGTTTATTTTGCTGCATTTAATCATGAATACAACATACAGAACTCTATGTAATAAAAGCAGTGATAATAAAACAACAAAAACTAAAATAACACATTATGCCTCCTATTTACCACAAATAATATTTTGATGACTCTGACTTGCCAAATCTTTATATCAATTTTATTTTCACTTTCATAGTTTTATCTTCAGCTGCTTTTAGTTTTAACCRTCTTGAGTGTTCATTGAAATGTTTTTACCAGCTTGTAGCCAAGATTCTGATGTTTCTGTAGATACCAAACATGTCTATGTCAAACTAAARGAACTTGGAGTAATTAAAGTAGAAAACGGGGGGTTGGGGCTTAAGAGATGAATGAACCTATTGGCATACCCAACTTTGGTCACTAGCAGGCCGGATATGGCCCGCAGGCCACCAGTTGAATAGTCCTATAGTGTTAAAGGGCCTTAAAAAGAGCTAAATGTTSAGATTAAATTAGGTTCTCTCTGGATTTTTAGGTGGTTCCTGTGAGTCTAGCAGAGGTTTACCTGCTGCAGCTCAACATGCGGTTCCCCACCCAGTCATCCTTCCAAAGGGTCCTGCCTCTGCTCAACATCACTGTGGCTTCTCTGCACCCTCTGACCGATCAGCAGGTTGGGYCAGCAGCTGAACTGGTGACAGTTTGACAAGCCTGTGCTGTATTCTCAACGCATGTTCTTTGTTCCTGAAGCTGTTTGAGGCGGTGAACGCAGGCTCTCTGAGTGGCGGAACAATCCAGTGGGCGGAGTTTGTGCAGCGCCTGGAGCAGCTGTCCTCCTTCCTGCTGCGGCGGAACGACGGCAGCAGGATGCTCAACTACCCGTCCTTCAGGGAGTGGCTGGTGTGGAGGGAGGAGGGGCAGGACGACAGGTTCCTCTGTGACCCCAGGTTTGAGACGACACAGCTGAAAATCCTTAATAAAAACACTAGCTCCATCTAGAGGGTGGTAAAAAATCAAGTATTTTCCCTCCAGGATAAAAATGTTCTGCTGCAGCATGAAAGGCGAGCAATCGTGTAGTTGTGTGTGTGTTTCTCTGTTTGTTGGTCTGTCTGTTAGCAAAATATTTAATGAAACACTAAATATATATATATTTTTCGACGAAACTCTTAAGAAACCATCATTAGATGTGCATCTTCTGCTGATTAACTTTTGGAGCCTGCACCAGTGAAGATGGCCACCTCGGCCAATCAATAATTGAGACGCACAAAAATGGCTCCAACTCTGAAAATGTAACAAATAAGCTTAAGTTCTCTGGGGTAAAGTCTAAAAGTTATCCTCAACACAGCTCGGACTTCTCAAAAGAAGTCTAATTTAAATAACATCTTGGTATTTTTTGATACGTCCATCTTCCGTGTCGAGACTTTAATCTAAGATCGTATTGAACTACATGAAGGAGTTAAAATTGTTTTGGTCAAACCTTGAAAACAAGGTTTTGTTCATCTGTTAAATGGCAAATTTACAACCATATCATTTGCTTAAAGGWGAAAAGAAAAGTGTTTTTAACTAATAGTAGTTGAAAGAAAAGCATAAAATATGTTTGTTGAGAAATTTTCATATCACAAAATAATTCATACCAATTCGAATGTAAACGTTGAAAAGTGAAAAGCATTTTTGGCCCACCCTTCCAGGCCTGACATAGGTTGTGTGACGGCTGTCACCACGATGTACGCTCATATAGTTTATTCAGTARTAGTGAGTGGAGAAGCAGCGTGCAGCATGGTTCAGTATGCTGTGATTAATTGTTCAAATCAACGAGAAAATACAAATGGAGTTTCACTCTTCAGCTTCCCAAAAGATAACAATCTTTGACAGATTTGGATATGTAGGCTCCGACATCAGRAGTACTTTTCAAAGCCGGGTGACCGCCTGTACAGTGACCCCTTTGAAGAGGAGCACCTGAAACAAGCCCTCGCTACTGCTTCACATCAGGGAAGCAGGAGCGTTTGCCAGGAGCAGTGCTGACTGTTTTTATTTACAAGCAAAATGCAGATGGAGAAGAGGAYGCTGCCACAGAGGTACAGACAAATACTTACAGTTCTGCAAGTATTAAAATTCTGATCTGGTCACCATTGATTTAACAAATTAAGATTTATCTGGGTAAGTGTGTCTTCTTGAATGGGTGTTCTTAAATGTAATTTCATTGTGCTCCATACATTGACAATAAAGACATCATCAATCAATCAATCAAGCAAGCAAGCAATTTGTTAGGAATAAGTCACTTACTCATGACATGGTTCATTGTCCCCAATTGGACTTTCATCCTGCAGATATTCATAGGACGTCTCTAATGCTGCGTTCACACCGAATGCGATTTCAGCTTGAAAATTGCAGCCAACGCTGAAGTTGGTCGCTTGTGCACTTTGAGGTCAAACGCAGGTCAGCTCTTGAAGCGCTGCAC